ACCTCCAAACCACCCACTGCCTTGTGGGTCAGGCTATTGAGCCAAAGGCTCCAGGTGGAGTCCCTCAAGCAAACCTCCAAACCACCCACTGCCTTGTGGGTCAGGCTATTGAGCCAAAGGCTCCGGGTGGAGTCCCTCAAGCAAACCTCCGAAGGACAACAATCACCTCGCGTGCGATTGCCCACCAATGCAATCGTATGCCTGCGCGCAAAGCACTCAGCATCGGGTGCTGGAACGTGCGCACACTACTGGACCGGAACGCGAGCGAGCGCCCGGAGCGACGCACTGCACTGGTCGCAATGGAGCTGGCGCGCTACCACATCGATATTGCGGCGCTCAGTGAAACTCGACTCGCTGAGCAAGGTAAGTTACATGAAGCAGGTGCTGGCTACACATTCTACTGGGTGGGGAACGCCGCCTCAGCACCACGTGAACATGGGGTCGGATTTGCAATATCCGACCGCCTGAATGGCCAGCTGGTGGGTGAACCAACGGGCATCAGCGCGCGGCTGATGACTGTTCGCCTACGACTCGGAAGAGGTAAGTTTGCTACTTTTATAAGCACGTACGGTCCGACCATGTGTTATCCTGATGACACTCGTGATCAGTTCTACACTGAGCTATCCTCCGTGATACGGTCTGTGCCGAGGAGCGACCGACTATTTCTGCTGGGTGATTTCAACGCGCGCGTTGGGCGTGATGCATCAGCGTGGACAGATGTTATCGGTGCGCATGGCGTTGGTTCAGCGAATGCGAACGGTGACAGGCTGCTCTCACTGTGTGCCACTCACGGCCTGACGATCACGAACACTCGGTTTGCACTGAGTGCGAGTGATATAGCAACTTGGACGCACCCACGGAGTGGTCACGCTCACCTGCTCGACTATGTCATCGTACGTCATCGTGATATGCGTGAAGTGCGCATGACACGTGTACTGCGTGGAGCTGAGTGTGGCACTGATCACAAATTGGCGCGCACCAAACTGTACATATATTTTCGTAAATCTATGTATTGCACTCCCGCCGTGAATCGGCGTAAATTTAACATTCTCTCCCTCGGTACTGTGGCGAAACGTACTGAGCTGGAGAAGGCGATGGCTGCACGCCTGTGTGGTGATGTGGACTGTATAGCCACAGTGGGCGACCTGTGGCACCACATTCGCGACCAGGTGACAGCTGCTGCGGAGGAGACCATCGGGCGCGCAAACTGTAAGCGGCCTGATTGGTTTGATGACAACAATGTGACGATTGACGCATTGGTGTCAGAGAAGAATGCAGCATTTGCTGCACATGTGGCAGACCCCAGTGACTTGGGGAAGAGTAGTCAGTTTCGCAAACTTCGACGGCGACTGACCCGAGAGCTCCGTCGCATTAAAAATGCATGGTGGACGGAGAAGGCGAAGCAGATGGAATGCTACGCCGAACGCCGTCAACACAAGGAATTCTTTGACTCCTTGAAGGCGGTGTATGGACCGAGATTGGAGCCGCTGAGGACACTGATCGATGGTAGTTCAGGCGCTACCTGCACCCAGACTGCAGACATAATGCAGGTCTGGCGGAAACACTTTGACTGTCTCTTGAACAACCGTTCAGAGATCGACTGGCCTACGTTGAATGGCCTGAAGCAGCACGATGTGAAGGCGGATCTGGCGGATACGCCGAGACTGGATGAGACGCAGAGAGCACTTGCTCAGCTGCGAAACGGCAAATGTGCTGGGGCCGACGGGATCCCACCTGAAGTATTGAAACACGGTGGACCCGCGTTGTTGACTGCGCTGCACCACTTGGTGCAACGCGTGTGGATTGAGGAGGAAGTGCCACCTGAGCTGAAGGATGCCCTTGTGCTACCACTGTACAAGGGCAAAGGGAGCAAGCAATGTTGCACGAATTATCGTGGCATCAACTTGCTGAGTTGTGTGGGCAAGGTGATTGCCCGAATCCTGCTCAATCGCCTCGTGAGTCAGATTGTGGAACCAAACGTGGCGGAAGAGCAATGTGGATTCCGTTCGGGTCGCAGCACTATAGTTATGGTGTTTGCGGCTCGTCAGTTGCAAGAGAAGTGTAGAGAACGACACCAGCCATTGTACTCGCTTTTTGTTGATTTCACCAAGGCATTTGATACGGTGAACCGCGAGGCACTGTGGCTGGTGTTGGGTAAGTTTGGTTGCCCGCGTAAGTTTGTAAGTTTAATTGAATGTCTGCACAGTGGTATGCGAGCGAGGGTGCAGCTGAGTGGAGAGACCTCTGATGACTTTACAGTTGTCTCTGGTGTGAAGCAAGGCTGTGTGTTAGCTCCTGCCCTGTTTAATATCTATCTTCATGCAATGTTGTCTTGTGCTTTTGATGTGGCTTGTGCTTACGGTGTTCGTGTGGAGCACCGTATTGATGGTGGGTTGCTGAACATCCGTCGTTTCGGTGCGAGAACTCTAGTCTGTGAGACAACTATCCGTATGTTGCTGTTTGCTGACGACTGTGCGTTGTTTTCACACAGCGCGGATGAGTTGCAGCACATGACTAGTGCTCTGGCTTCGACAGCGGCCAACTTCGGGCTCACCATCAACACAAGCAAAACTGTCTGTCTGTTTCAGCCTTCACCGGAGGTGCAATCTTCAATATTGCCGCAAATCAGCATTGGTGCTGAAGTATTGGAAACCACCTCCCGCTTCTGCTACCTTGGGAGTGTGATGTCGACTGATCAGCAGCTACACGTTGAGTTGCGCAATCGGGTGTCGAAGGCGGCAGCGGCATTCGGGAAGCTAGAGTACCGAGTGTGGAACAACCATCAGCTTAGCATTGGCACGAAGCTGATGGTGTACAAATCCATGGTGCTGTCCGTTCTTCTATACGGCAGTGAAACGTGGACGATGTACCGTCGGGATGTGCGATATCTCGAGCGGTTCCATCAGCAGTGTCTGCGACGAATTTTGCGGATCGGCTGGGGCGCCAGAGTTGCAGACACGGAAGTGTTGCGCCGAAGTGGGATGTATGCAGTGGACTGCATACTTTTACTGCGACACCTGAGATGGCTCGGTCATGTGAGCCGTATGGATTCGACGCGAATACCGAAGCAACTTTTATACGGTCAGCTGAGTATTGGGAAGCGGCATGCTGGGAAACCCAAGTTACGTTACCAGGACATGATTAAAGTGAGCCTCACACGTTCTAATCTTGATTGCAGATCATGGGAATCGAAGGCGGCTGATCGTGGTGCATGGCGCGATCTAATCACGAAGGCAGTTGCTGAAGTGCGAGAGAAATCCCTCATGCATGCAGAGAAGAAGCGGCAAGTGCGGAAGCGGCAAGCACCGATGAACTGTACTCCATCGGCATCGAGCGCATTGTGTTGTAGAACATGCGGTCGCGAATGCCTTAGTCAGGCAGGCCTAGTGAGCCATGAGAGAGGTCACTCGGGACCACTGCCGAAGCGACGACGGGTCCCGCAGTGAACGTAGGCAGCACCGGCGCAGCGTTTGTAGGCACGCTGAATTCGATTTACTAACCGCGTGCTTGCATGCAAAGTCTCTTTATTTCAGGTGGTGGGTTTTCGGTTCTCTCCTAATGCCTTTCTTTCTCATATAAGTGTCTAGTGGGCCATGCGCTGTGTCATTTGGGGCCACTACAGAAGCGACGACGGGTCCTGCAGAGAATTACGACGAGCCGGCGCAGCGTTTGTAGGCACGCTGAATTCGATTTACTAACCGCATGCTTGCATGCTAAGTCTCTTTATTTTAGGTGGTGGGTTTTCGGTTCCCTCCTAATGCCTTTCTTTCTTTCTCATATAAATGTCTAGTGGATAAATGTCTAGTGGGCAATGCGCTGTGCCATTTGGGGCCACTACAGAAACGACGACGGGTCCTGCAGAGGGTTACGACGAGCCGGCGCAGCGTTTGTAGGCACGCTGATTTCGATTTACTAACCGCGTGCTTGCATGCTAAGTCTCTCTATTTCAGGTGGTGGGTTTACAGTTTGTGCCTAATGCTTTCCTTCCTCATATGAATATCTCCCTGTACTCTATTCCATTAACTTGCACACATAACTTCAGCCAATTGTATTCGATTTCCATAACATTTTTGTGTTCGTGGCATTCCGTGAACTATACTTCCTGACCTCGTGCACTTAGCTAGGATTTGTTTGTAAACAACTTATTACGTATGCTATTTAATTAAGGTTTATGTCACCGTTTCCTTATGCATTAATCGAGTTTTTCTCCTTTTCTCTTTTTCTTTCTCCCCCTCTCAAGTGTTTGGCTGTTGTTGATATCCCCGGTGTGGCTGCGCTTGATGTGCATGTTGACAAGGTGCCTACCTGTCTATTACCCACTACCTCGTCCATACTGGCTCCTGGAGACAGTTGGTCGTTGCTGGAGGGGACGGGGTGCGCGGTCCTTGTGGCCGTGTTAGGCTGGAAGAGTGGTTCCATGCACTCAGTGTGGAGCGGACTACGGTCCAGCCACCGCCTTGTGTGCGGTTGATTCCCCAAATACAGTGTGCCTGTGTTTGCCTGTGAAGGAGTGTGGGCCGGCTCCGTTGATGAAACGTGGTTCCCATCCACATGCCTCCCGGTCTTATTCCTTCGGGTTTACACTGGATATGGGGTATGTGGTTGGAGCTGTGGGTGGTGCAGCGCAAGCCATCCATGGTCCCTCTGTAGGCGCAGGCGTCCTGTGGCTTGCCACAGTGACAGGCAAATCCGAAACCGGATGCCGCCAACCATATATATATATTGTACATGGCTACTTTTAATATTTATTCGTTAGTTGTATTTGTCGCGGGCGTAACGAGGCAGGTGTTTCGGGCGTGTATTTCATACTTCACTTATTCTATTATTGTTGCTTTGTCCACATTTCGTAGGATTGCGTAGCAGTTGAGGATGGTACGCCTTTTCCATGTCTGTCGCATTCGAACAGGTGTAACGGAGTTGCCATGTTGTTGCAACGCCTGCTTTGTCATCTACCTTTTGTTTCTGGTCCTTATCTATTTTTCGTCTTTTTTTCTTTTTAGGCTGCCTCTGAGCAAAGGTGTATTTACTTAGTCTTACTCTTCGCCCGACAGTTCCCATATGTACTGTATGTATTTCTGTATTTCTCATTTTGACAGCGATGGCCAGCGTATGTTCATGCAGCCTTGTACCAAGTTTTCTTTCAGTCTGGCCTACATAGTCCTTGTCACAATTCTTGCAGGAAAATTTGTAAATTACACCCGATGTTTCTTCCTTACCCAGTTTGTCCTTTATCTTGAAAAGTTTACTTTGAATAGTTCCTGTTGCTTCAAATGCAACATTTATCCCTTGAGACAGTAGAAGCCTCGTTGCCATTTCAGAAATTCCGTGGATCTAAGTTAGGATAATCGTTATTCTTTATGTTGCATATGTGGACGCGAAGTTTGTCTAGAAGGTACGACTGCATCATTGTAAGAGGGTTTTTGATTAGACAAGGCTGGGGGCGACCTACCGGTCTTAGAGAGCTTGGACGAACAGACGCTCATTTCAAGTGCGGAGCGCGCGGACGCCTTGGCTACGCACTTTCTCACTGTCTTTTCCAGTAAACGGGCGGCGGTTTCAGTACCAGCACAGGTTGCGCCAGTCTTGCTCAACAGCCTACAATGTGATGCAGTCGAAGTGTATCAGCTACTCGATAGTGCAAAGCCCCCCCCCGGACCAGACGGACTTCACCCACTAATACTCAAGTCCCTATCGATTATTATCTCACCAGTCATGACAAACCTATTCAATGAATCACTGTCTGAAGGATCTGTCCCCAACCACTGGAAATGCTCGATAGTGAGACCGCTTCCCGTGGGTGGCGATCGGAGTAGAATAGAGACTATAGACCGATCTGTTTGATTTCGATATTATCCAAAGTTATCTAGAAGATTGTGAAAAGTGTCCGCTGTCGTTCTCCGAATCGATGTACGTATTGACACCAGCGCAACACGGCTTTACAAAAGGGCGATCCTGCATCACCAACTTGATGTATGCAAACCACTAGTGGGTACGAACTCTCAATGAACAGAATGATCTTAACGTGGTGTACATCGACTTTTTGACAGAGTGACAGAGTGAACCACGCGGTACTCCTTCGTAAACTGAGGACATACGGAGTCGGTGGCACGCTATTTCAGTGGTTACACGAGTTTATTGTGGGACAAAGTTTAGACTACAGGTCAATGACTAGCTGACAGAATGGTTTCCATCGATCAGTTTCGTGCCTCAAGGAACTGTACTTCGTCCAGTATTATTTCTTATTCATATCAACGATCTTGCGCAGCAGCTCCAGTCACCATGTGCCCTATTTGCAGATGATTTAAAAATCTGGAGGATCTGGATTCTTTGAAGTGTTTTAAAACCCGTATCGACGATTATTTCGGAAACCTATGCTTTTGTGTAACATTGCACATACAATGCCAAAAGAAGACATCGTATACCCGTATACCAATACCAATTCCTAAGCGAACATGGATAAACGATTAACTGATCAAACACTACCGCTGACGACTCGCAACTACATGTTTTTGATTTTTCACAATGCAATAGAGTTGTACAAAAACCTTTCTACTTGCTCTTAAATACAGTCTCAGTAGCAGGTTTCTGTTATCGGTAACTCGATCGCCATCTTACTAGAGTGCTAGTTTTAACTACTGTACACCTTGTTCGCGCGTGGCTACCTGATTCAATGCAGCCAGTAACCAACACCAACTGTACTGTTTCACCACTGCAATCAGATCGTGGCGCTCTTGTTGCACGCAAATCAACCCGAGCTTACCTCCCGTAAATTATCTTCTCATGTGGTATAAGTTTAGGAATGAAAGGCTTCCATCCTTCACCTGCCGCTTTTTACTAATATCTGATATCTTGCCTTTGAGGTACTTGGAAAGTGATACCGGTCTCAGCTTGGTAGATCATGGATACGCACAAACCACTGCATCCTAAGGTCCATTCTGATCGCAAACGAGAGATATCAGTTCAAGCGATGCACCATATTCAAGGGGTGGTCCCATCACTAGCCATTGACTCGCGCATCTATTTGTGAGTCAAACGCGAGGTGCACAAGCTTACATTATTGCTGGTATTGCTGACTGCATCAAAAGCATAGTTGCCTCACACTTAAGGCACTGGGAAATTGGTGTTCTTTAATCATCGCTCTCGTCCCGAACGAACACTACTGACGTTCACCAATTTGTGTGGAATGTAACCATGTTGCACCGTACTGAAGTGAGTACATAACTTCAGCCAATTCCCTCGGTTACTGTATACCCTCCGCATTCCCGTACACTACCTTCATCTGTGTCCATGTTGTCGGCCTGTAGCCGTAAGGATTATAGGCCTACCATATAATCTGTGGGCGCGCGTTCTATCCTGCGTAGGAACCGGACGAGCCTCGCAGTATCCTTAGTCCACGTGCGACTGGTGGTGGTTGCGCGGCAGCGAAGCGTCAGGATAGCGTACCGGCATAGTGTTGATATCTTGTTCTGTTGCTACACCTAGCTGGCCAGCGCCTAAAAGGGTTAGTGTATCATGTGGCATAAGTGCATGAAAATTAATTGACGGAGAGGTTTGGTCAAATTGATACGGTGGCGTTGCTGCACGATCTCCTACCTTTTGCTTTACTCACATTTTTTCCAAAACTTTTTATTTCTCTCTTACACCCAACACTAGTTTCATTATTATTGATCACAGCTATCCTAGTGATGCGAGTCTTACCAACTGGGCCTGCCGTACTTCAGTGCCCTGATCTCGACCGTTTTGGTTGAACTGAACCCAGCTGGATATGCTTCCCAACTGCTTTTTTATCAGAACGAATGATAAGCGCGCACCATTCTCTCATAAACCAACTGTTTGCATATCAACATTACCCTCTTTTGATGCTTCTCGCATTTCAGAATCTTGTCACTATTTTGACCTTCGACTGCTGCTGTGTGGCTTACTTGTGCGTCACTGTGGCGTGGGCCGACAAAACTGTCATTGTTCACCCTAGTATCTCTTCCTTTTTATCTCTTTTTGCTTATGCGGGTGGGACTAGTGATCGTGCAGTGTGAGTCATCTGCCGGTTCTTGTATCCCCCGACATTGCGCCTACACCGGCGAGTGTCTGCAAACGACTGCCCCCAACTACTCTGCACTAGCTCTTCTCTCACACCACTCCAAACGGAACTATGCCTCGATCCTCCACTTCATCTATGGTGTTCCGTTCACAATCCTTTCTATCAATGTAAACATGACGTACGCTCTAAATTACTGCTAACATCTCTGAACAGTCTGCACGATGGTTCAATTATTTGACTTCCGCCATTTGTTGTTCTACTGTAAGAAAACTGTTACCTCGCTGTCACCTGCAGCTGTGCAAAGGCTAGGTGTACTGTAATGCCACCCGAATTTCGCATATTTGAACCGGTAACTGTTCTACTCTAAATGTCTACCGTCGATATTGATCCTATCCTGGAAGGTAGATCAGCTTCTTAGATCGAGATCCGCAAGGTCCGCGCTACCCGTCACCGCTGTTTGAATTTATGCAAGCTCATTTTCTATTATCGCCTGTTCTTTGTTTACTTGACCAATTCTCACTAGGTTTGCTGAACAAACTTATTTCGGATTGCTGTATGTACTCTCCCACCCTTCAGCACGGAAACCTTCACAGCCCCATAGAAAATTCTCCTCAGAAGACCACTGGTGTCCACCTCCCAGCAACGGAACTACTCCAGCGGATACAAAGCGAAGATCCTGGCCTGGAGGAAGTAAATGAGGATGTTGTCGCGGAGCACTTTAAAGTCGTTGTACAGTTGAATGAAGCACGTAAGTTTTGTTTCCTCTGTTTTGCTTGTAATATCAACTGTCCCATCGGCGTCTCTACTTAGTTTCTTGGCCAACTTTTCGGTTTCTTAGGTCGCATTTTTTCTACAGTGAAAACTCCCTTATAATTCTTTTCTTTCTGGGATTTCGCACGCATCTGCAGTCTGAAACATCATTTTTCTTGCTTCGCCAGTACTCGAAGAAAGAAGTAGATTACACAAGTGCTTGCCTTTCTTCTGCATGTGTACTTCTTGTTCTGCTTCTTCGGTAGTCAGAAGTCGCATTTGCTACCGGGCTTTTGCATGCAGTTCCTTGTTTCCATTCGATATACGTTTTCAGGATTTTTCTTTGTTGACTGTCTTAACTTACCTGCACAACGCTTTTGGGGTCTATGCGTGGTGCTGGCTCTACCTAATGAGATCACATAAGGTCGAAACGTGTCGTGGTGTTCAGTGTTTCCGCACGGGCAACACCACATATCTACCTGCTTTATCAGTAACCGTGCCAATACTCGAATGACTAAGCTTCTCTTCAATGGGAATCGCGGTCCACATTGAGATTGCGCGTCGCAATCCATCCACACAACGTGTGTTTCAAAATGATCCCCCAATCAGTCATTAACTTTTGTGCCAAGCGTTGCTCATCGTGATCTGGCGACTAAAGGGGTATAGGTTCGAGGCTTGCTTTCTCTACCTGATGAGACTAAGCCACATTGATACGCATGGTGCAGCGCAGTGTCTTCGGGCGGGCAACAACGCTACTGTCCTAGTAATCAACTTGGCCCAAGGTCGCTACAATATAAATAACGGTCCACATTAAGATTGCACGTCGCAATCCGTCTGAACAACGAGTGTATCAACATGACCTTCAATCAGTCATTGACCGTTGTGCCAAGCGTTACCCATCGTCACCCAGTCGCTTAGGAGTACAGGTCCAAGATAGTATCCCAAGGGTCCCGGGTTCAATGCTTGATTGGGAAAAATAAGTTCGAAATCGATAATGTCGTGCAGCGTTTTCGGACAGTTGACACCCAATTCTTACCTGCGCCTTCAGCTGCGGTCTTAGTGATTGATTTGACTAAGGTTCACCTCAACATGAATCCCGGTCCATGAACAGTAAAATCGTGCATGCCCCAAAATCTGGGCATTACATAAATTCGCCAAGATTGGACAAACGTCCTGGCTTGATATTGAAACAGTAATCATTTTAAACGCAAAGAATGATCGGAATTGCCCGCGAAAAACCTTCTCGTGGTGCCAGCTGGGTGTTTCGGATTTACCACGTTCCAGCAAATGGTACAGCGCCACTGTGCCAGGACGTGGTGGGTTTTCGCCTCGCAAGCGTTCTCCCTATAAGAAGCCACAATTCCCTTTGACGTGGCGGTTGTGACTCACCCCAAACTAAAGTCACCGCTTCAAGTCCACAAACACCAAGCATCCCTTTAGCACTGATGACACGATCAAAAGTGCTGGAAAGCATTTACAAAACCCATTAACACGGCTACACACGCCCACATGGTTGGCGGAATCTGGTTTCGGATTTGTCTGTCACTGTGGCCCGCCACAGGACGGCTATGCCTACAGAGGGACCGTAGTCTGCTCCACACTGAGTGCATGGCACCACTCTTCGAGAGTAGCACGGCCACAAGGACCGTGCACCCCGTCCCCTCCAGCAACGACCAACTATCTCCTAGAGCCAATATGGACGAGGTTGTGGGTAACCGACAGGTAGGCACCTTGTCAACATGCACATCAAGCTCAGCCACACCGGGGATGTCAAGCAACAGCCAGTCACTTGAAACGACAATATCAAATAAAATAAATCAAATAATGCATATCGATGCGGTGACATAACTCCTCACTAAATGCACAGATGAAATAAATTTGTTACGAAAAATCCGCGATAAGTTCAAGACGTCAGAAAATCTATTTTAAGAAAATGCGACAAACGTGAAAATGTTATCGGACTTACCTACAGTTAGCTTAAGCGATGTGTGCAATTTTATAGAAGATCGTTCACTTGGACATTTATATGAGACGTTTTGATATACTGGTAGCTCGGGTTTATGATTCAATTGTTCATTTATTCTCCGAGCTTGGCGGTTTTGTCGCAAACGTTTAACTATCATACGAGGTGGCATCCTCAGTGCAGTGCGATGCGGCGTGCAATCTTACTGAATGAATCCTCTATCCGTGATCGACCTGCAGGTGACTTTTGAAATTGACAGTGTCGATTTACCTCCCGTGACTACCTACTTTCCTCTAGACTAAAGTCGGCGCCCGAGTTGTTCTGCCTTAAACTACGTGACAAAATGTTCTTTATTTCTTTCTGTCGCAATGGTTCGTATATTGAATCGATGTCCACTCGCATGTTGATTGAGTTTTTCCTTGTGAACAAAGCTTCCAGGAATTCCCTTTCTTGGTTGGTTCTCAACGAAAAACTCAATCAACTTGCGCGTGGACATCGATTCAATATGCGAAAGAAATAAAGAACATTTTGTCACAGTTTAAAGCAGAACAACTCGTGCGCCGACTTGACTCTAGGGGAAAGTAGGTAGAGGTCACGGGACTGCCACTTTCAAAAATCACCTGCAGGTCGATCACGGATGGAGGATTCATTCAGTAAGATTGCACGCCGCATCTCACTGCACTGAGGATGCCACCTTGCATGGTGGTGAAACGTTTGCAATAAAACCGCCAAGCTCGGAGAACAAATGAACAGTTGAATTTATATGAGATTAAAAAGCACTAGGACAATATAGCCAACCCACTACCTGAAATAACGAGACTCAGCATGCAAGCACGCGGTTAGTAAATCGAATGCAGCGTACCTACAAACACTGCGGCGATTCTGCCTACGTTCTCTGCAGGACCCGTCGTCGCTACGTTGGTGACTTCGAGTGGCCTTGCTCATGGCTCACTAGGCCTGCTTGACTCAGGCACTCGCGACCGCATGTGCTACAGCACCATGCGCTCGATGTCGATGGAGTACACCCTATCGGCGCTTGCAGCTTTCACACTTGCCGCTTCTTTTCTGCATGTATGAGGTTTTCCTTCCGTTCCTGGGCAACTGCCTTGGTAATCAGATCGCGTCATGCATTCCGACTAACCGCCTTCGATTCCCATGACCTTCAATCACGATTAGAACGTGAGAGACTCACTTTGACCATGTCCTGGTAACGCAGCTTCGGTTTGCCCACATGCCGCTCCGAAACACTCAGCTGACCATATAATAACTGCTTCGGTATCCGCGTCGAATCCATACACCACACATGACCGAGCCACCTCAGGTGTCTCAGCAAAATTATGCAATCCACTGCACACATTCCACTTTGGCGCAATACTTCTGTGTCCGCAACTCTGCCTCACCAACCGATGCGCAGAATCCGTCACAGACACTGTTGATGGAACCGCTCGAGATGTCGCACATCCCGCCGGTACATCGTCCACGTTTCACTGCTGTATAGAAGAACGGACAACACCATGGATCTGTACACCATCAGCTTCGCGCTAATGGGTAAGCTGATGGTTGTTCCACACTCGATACTCAAGTTACCCGAATGCCGCCACTGCCTTTGACAAGCGGATACGTAGCTCACTGTGTAGCTGCCGGTCAGTCGACATCACACTCCAAGGTAGCAGAAGTGAGAAGTGATTTTTAATACTTCAGCACCAATGCTGATTCGCGGCAATATTGAAGATTGCACCTCCGGTGAAAGCTGAAAGAGACAGACAGTTTTGCTTGTCTTGATAGTGAGCCCACATTTGGACGCTGTCGAAGCCAGAGCACTAGTGCTCTTCCGCCACGTTTGGTTCCACAACCTGACTGACGAGGCGGTTGAGAAGGATTCGGGCAATCATCTTGCCCCCACAACTCAGCAAGTTGATGCCACGATAATTCGTGTAACATTGCTTGCTCCATTTGCCGTTGTACAGTGGTAGCAAAAGGGCATCCTTCAGCTCAGGAGGCACCTCCTCCATCCACACGCGTTGCACCAAGTGGTGCAGCGCAGTCACCAACGTGGGTCCGCCGTGTTTCAATACTTCAGGCGGGATCCCGTTAGTGCCGGCACACTTGCCGTTTCGCAGCTGAGCAAGTGCTCTCTGCGTCTCATCCAGTGTCGGCGTATCCGCCAGACTCGCATTCACATCGTGCTGTTTCAGGCCGTTGAATGTAGGCTAGTCGATCTCTGAACGGTTGTTCAAGAGACAGTTACTGTGTTTTTGCCAGATCTGCAGTCTGGGTGCAGGTCGCACCTGAGCTACCATCGATCAGCGTCCCCAGTGGCTCCAACCTCGGTCCATACACCGCCTTCAAGAAATCGAAGAATCCCTTGTGTTAGCGGCGTGCAGCGAAACATTCCGTCTGCTTCCTCTTCTCCGTCCACCATGCATTTTTAATGCGACGGAGCTCTCGGGTCAGTTGCCGTCGAAGTTTGAGAAACTGACAACTCTTTTCCGAGTCACTGGGGTCTGCGACATATGCGCCAAATGCTGTATTCCGCTCACACACCAATGCGCCAAGCTTCGCACTGTTCTCGTCAGACCAAACAGGCCGCTTACAGTTTGTGCGCCCGATGGTCTCTTCGGCAGCAGCTTTCACCTGGTCGTGAATGTGGTGCCACAGATCGCCCACTGTAGCTATGCATTCCACACCACACAAATGTGCAGCCATCGCCCTCTCCAGCTCAGTACGTTTCGGCACAGTGCGGAGAGAGAGAGAATGTTAACTTTACGCCGATTCACGGCGGGAGTGCAAAACATAGCTTTACGAAAATATATGTGCAGTTTAATCCGCACTAATTTGTGATCAGTGCCACACTCAGCTCCACGTTGTACACGTGTCATGTGCACTTCACGCATATCACGCTGACGCACGATGACATAGTCGAGCAGGTGAGCACGACCATTCCGTGGGTGCGTCTAAGTTGCTATATCGCTCGCACTCAGTGCAAATCGTGTACGTTATCGTCAGGCCGTGAGTGGCACACAGTGAAAGTAGCCTGTCGCATTCGCTGAACCAATGCCATGCGGACCGACAACATCTGTGCACACCGATGCATAACTCCCAACGCGCGCGTTGAAATCAGCCAGCCGAAATATTCGGGGAATCTAACGAGACAATGGAATTGTGAGATGAATGAAATGGTGTGTGAGGCGTGGTAGGCAAACAATTTCGATGGCTGGGATAGAATTCGGCCGAGTCTGAGTCGTTCGAGATTGTTGAACAAGAGCCAGCAGGTCTGCTGTCCTGGCTATTTAGAACAGGAGGTGTAGGGAGACAGGTCGAGACCTGCGCCGCGGGTCGTTCATAGGCCCCAGTCCGCGGCTGGATTGACGGTTGGGAGGGGATTGCGGGTCGATGGGTATTTACTCGCGAGTTTCTGTGTCTCAGAACCATAGGAACGTCGGAAGATGTTGTGGTGGGCGTGTAATTGCAGTCCGGCGATGGGCCTGCCAAAAGAATGCGCGATGCTGAAGAGGCCTCCGTCGTTGATGCTGAAGTTCATGCTCTTCTGCGTGAAACCCTTTGGACTTCTACGTTCTTTGACCATGATGGTTTGGTCCACTTGAGATGTTGCAACCTTCTCCTAATTGTCGCTGGCGTTCTCATTGGAAAATGCTGGGGAAGGCAGAGCAACAAATTCTTCATAGTTCTCTCCATGGAATGCAGCACTTCGGCTAACCGCATTAACTCTGCGTCTTCTGCATTCGACCAGAAGACTCTTCGAATGGCTCTCCTCGCTGTCATGCGGGCGCGGTAGTCTTCGGGGTGTTTCCGTCGGCGGTGCATTGTCAGCCTCTCACTGAAGTGAAAGTTGTGCCACAGAGAGGACAAGCATTAAGTGCTGGCTCGTCGACACGGCGGTGGTCTAGAGGATGGACTGTGTGATATGCCGTGTGGCGAGCCAATTCATTCGTAGAGGTATAGGAAGCATGGCAGAGTATACATGTGTGCAGAGTGGATGTTGTGGTGGCAGTAGTTAGAGCGGAGATAGCGGGGGACGTGGGTGGGTGGAGAAAGTTATGCACAAAATCCATGTCGTTGACGGAGAGACACGAGTGATTATAGAGCTCGGGCCGGATAAATGTAAACAAAGCGATGCTAATAAACATAAAAACAAATAAGCATTCTCTGTTAAAAGTCGCATAATGTGTTAAAATAAAAGAACTAGATAGATCCCGATACGCATTTTATGGTATCCTTCCTCGGGTACGATGCATCAAGGAACTCTTTCTTTTCCCATTTCCCCGTCTATCATGGTTTCTGTTTCATTCCAAACAGAGCGGTGTCCTTTGTCTATGTGCTTCAAAACCAAAGGCTGAGTGTAATGGTTTTGGTAGACTGATGCTTGTACATATTTTTCGCCAATTTTCTACGCAATTCTGGCAAGCATCCTGTAGTGGAGTGGCTTACCTTTGACTTTTCCTCCACTACTTGGTTGCATGTTGTATGAATTATTAACTCGTTCCTTTCTACGGGTCTGGGTATTCAGGCGCTTTGTTTCATGCTCGGACTTGTGTAATTTCATAATTAAGTCCAGTTCTCTCACTGCTTTAGAGAATAAGCTCACTCTGCATCGGAATCTACTTAGTCCCGCACTATAGGTTCTGTTGTGACCACAGTTTGAGTGATGTCTATTGTTCCCATCTTGTCCGTGCTGAAGGCTGAGTGCCTTTCCAATCACTCCCGTGACACGTTCATTCAGCCATTTGACTGTACTTCAAAGTAATGCGATGGATGCTTCATTTCTGTTACCCACTGGATTGTACTGATTGGGACTTTCTAAATGCCTCTGATGCCAAGTGTGATGAGTCTAATGGACTAATCGTTTACACTGTGCACTTAGGAGGTTTTGTTGAACTGGTGATTTGTTCCTGTATCCAAGGTCATCCATGTGGAACAACGATTTACGGGTTACTAGCTCAGCTTGATTAGCCTACAACACAAGCTTCATATGTCGTCACTAGTAGTATGAGAGCGCCATAGTTGGCCTTAGTTGTGTTACTTCCCACCACGGGCCGAGTGACGTTAACCGCAGCACCTGGATTAACCGTGATTTGGTGCATCACGTACAGCGGCCTGAATCGCATTAGCCATTATTTGCGCCAGCTTATTGGTTCTCATCACTCTACCGTTTCATCATGTGTATGACAAGCGCTCCTTTGCCTAATTCCCTTTATGAATTGAGTGAAACCAAATTTTTCTTAGTATTCAACTTTCCTATATTCTTAACCTGTGTTCTACTTCACGTTGTGGCAGGAACCTAAAGTAAATTTTGAACCTCACCGGTTTCCGTCGTTTGGCGGTTTCTCCATCTCAGTCTGCTTTTCATAGGGGACTGTTGAACACTTGAGCAACATCAGTATAGACAGGGTTCCACCCGACGGATTTACTTCCAAAATCCCTTAATTCTTCTCATCTTTAGCCGTTCCTAACTACCGCACTGGACACACTAGTTGCCACGACTTCTGCCATCAGCTTTAGCTCTCCTTACCCATTATTATATGGCCATTTGATGTCTGATTTTTAAGCACTAACCGACTAGAGGTGTTTGATGTCGCTCCTTTCAACACGAATACCCCACGACCCGTTTCGTGGAGATAACCTGAGTTGAGTTGGAACTCGAGGCCTAGTGTTTGACGGCTGATATGCGTGAGCAAGACTCAGCACGGCGGCAAGGAATTCCGACGTGGCTTTGGAGTACCCGTCGTGTGGATAGATTGACAACCCCGTATCGGTTCACTTAGAACTTGACATCAGTCATCCCGATCACAAGGACCGTTTCGGCGTTGTGTACCGAGTGTTAATACGTGCATGATGAACCTGTGGGCTACTCTGATCTGCTATCATGTTCCAATTCCAGTACCGCATTTATTACTAGATTTTCCCCAACTGTCTTATTATTCCGTAGGCTTGCTTACCAACTTTGTGCTTCTGAGGGCCGATCTTGCTTTCTGAATGGTGTTGACATATATGCCATGTCTATGTGTCCCCAACATCTTTGTGGCCCAGTGACGCCACTCGTCAGCTTGCACGCTGCTCGATCTTATGTTCGAATCATTAAGCATTTGAACGGAGTGAGCATTTCGAAATTGCCATATAGCGCTTTCACGCACCTTGATTGCTATATGACGAAGACGAATTCTATTGGGCCCATTTTGTACCATATCTCACCTGCGCAACATGCCATTTAATCTGAAAAATACTTCTTTGTCACTGCTGTCAGCTGTTTACGCATGTAGTTTCCTGGACACCTGAATCTAGTTATTTGGACAGATTTTCCTCTAGGTGGGCGTTTAGTTCACCTTCACTGTGACTCTGGTTAGCCGTCGTGGATTTCTAGTAACTTCCGATACGAATGCAGTATAACATTGCCCTATCCGAAACCAATCTGATTTTTGCTTAGAACGCTCTGCTCCATTCAGGACCGGACATCTGCTCCACGGTGTCCATTATTAGCTCCGCGATACAACCACCGACTGATACATCCTACATTCTATGTTTGCGAATGACGTGTGCCACTCAATTCCGAAGACATTACACTCCATTCGAACTTCGCCATCATGTAGAGTATAACTGATCATCGCGTATTTTCAGCGGATAACATCTACCGGTTCAATTAAACTTCTTGTTTTATGGGTACCTGGCCTCGTCGGCTAGAAACCGTTCAAAATCACCTTTGTCTTCAAATTGTGCCCTGTTGTCTTGACTTCCCATTTCAACAAACTGTTTACTCTTTTTGCACTCCTTGTAACATTTTCGCCGCATAGTAGATCGTACTTGCTTCTATTAGTAAATCACATCACTTTTGGACATTTCACTATCCTAATGTTTGCTTTCCCTGCTCCCGTTCTTAAATAAAGTTACATCTCCGTGTCATTCGCTTCGTTTTAGTTGATTCGACTCACTCTGTGTCAGCATCCTCCAGAGCATCTGAATTATTAGGATGCCTTAACGCGCATCCTGCAATCGCACGTTTCTTGGATTCTCTTGACTCCGGTTACGAGAACTTCAATGCCCGACCGTTCCACGACATAGTAAGCCTTTTCTCTATCTTTACCTTTTTATGGTACATTTTATGAACATTTTCTTCACTTACTTGCTTGACTTTAGCTCGTTATCCCGTTGCTTGTCACCTTTTTGTTTTCCAGCCTCTGCGTGTTTTCCTCGGGGCAAATCATTTGATTATCTTCCCGCTGTATCCATTCCGAGTCAGGTTTTGAACTTGTGTGCATCTTTAATATCTGTCCTATATACTTCTTGTGAATATGTAGGGAGCTTCTTAAATGCTGGATTCAGTAATAATGCCCCGTTATTGTTTGGTGCTGCAAAGAAGTCGAAGCATGCATTCCCATTAACGTATTTATATGCTCCCACAAATTGCTACTGGAAGAACAGAAGCAAACCTGTCTGAGGCGGTGATGGCGTTCAGTCCCCGATAATCCCCACACTGTCTCCAATCTTCAGGTTTGTTCTTCTGGACCATACATGTAGTGGCGATGGCAACGTACTGCTGGATGCAAGTTTTATGTCCACCTGTATCATCTAATCGAATTCAGCCTTCGCTACGGAAGGTAAATCGGGCGCTAAACGCTGTGGTCGATGAAAACCGGACTACCTGTTGTGAACGATGTGAACGATCTCATATCCGACGTCAACAGCATAACAAAGCCCGGATATTAAATCCGTGCTTCGTCTTGCTGTTGAATTCCTGTAACAGATCCAGTTACTTTATACTGGCTCGAGGCGGGACAAGCTGAGGAATCCTGGACAAAATGGAACTTTTGAACCTAACCTGCGCCCGTTGCGTTGGGCCATCGATAATTTGACAGCATTTGAGATCTACGACTGCCGTGATATTTAATGAAATCATTGTCTAGAATGGTTGTTAGCAATTTAGCTACGATAAAAATCCAAGAAAAAGGTTTACGGAGACTGAGGTTCGACGTAATAGACCGTTCTCCATAGGTACAGATGGGCGTGTCGTTTACTGCCTGCAGGCTATATACCGAGCAGTACTTTAAGTCCCCCGGATGTGGGTTAATTACACTGACTTTGGCACCAGGGTCTATGAGGAATCGCTTGTCCGATCCCACGTCCCGCAACTAAAAGAGGCGACCTGACTCGCATATGCCAGGTGACGTTGTCACCATTATAAGCTTGCGTGTTCGTTTCTCAAGTTGGAAAATCGACACGACTTTATTGGTTTCGGCGATATCAACTAATGCCACGCAAATGACTAACACTCCGAGTACCCCGTTGATTAGATCGAGGGTTACTTTTTCGTCTGGCGATCGCAGTAAAGGCTAGTTGTTCTTGTAGGGAGCGCGCGGCTTGTACGATTGGGTCGTCACATGCACGAGGCGATAAAGTTGAGATCTTAGATTCTTGTATCTGCATTATTTTATCAGCCATAATGGCTAGGTCTTTCAATTCGGTATCCTGATGAATGTTAGCCAATATCGGTTGTACATGAGTAGGGAATCGTTAAAAAAGTAGAAGCTTAAAGGTGAAATTTTCTGGAGGGCTATTACCTACTAGAGCTTGCGTGACCTATAATTTTCGCGTAGGCATACGATCATCTTAATTATTCCTCATTAAGTAGACGTCGTATCCTCTTAAGCTCACAAGCGCTCACGAACTAGCATATCCCTTGGCTGTTGGTAGGTCGGGCTTATCTTCTGGATATCCTGTGCCAGGCGCAATAATTCTGGTGGGAGTCTGGAAATTATGATGATGAATCTTCAAGGCATCCTTATATATGCGATTAATTTCAATGATTGGCGGCTTGAATAAACCAAAATTTGGGATATTGTATCCAAAATGTTGGTAAACATCTAGTAGGTACAGTGTTAACTTCCCCTGGTTGCTGGTCGGTCATATTCGCATACGTGAAATTAACACAAGACGACGAAAATGAGCACGACTCACTGTATGCGGACGGCTGAGTCCGAAGCACTAAGCTCACGTCAGGTTCACCACTTTGTAGGAGTGCTTCTTAGGTACTGGATTCAGAACTAATGCCCCGTCGTTCTTGGAAGCCGCAAGAAAGTAGAAGCATGTCTTCCCATAGATATATTTAGACGTGCCCACAACTTGATAACAAAAGAACGGAATAAAAGCTGCGAAAGGAGGCTGCGTGGTGTTCGTAGGTCTTAGTGTACAGTTTTTTCAAGTTAGTGTATCGGTTCTGGACTGGTTGTGCCTTTTTAATGGCAGTCAATACAACTGGCATATGTATCACCTGACTTAGGGTACTATCTTGTTAACGCTTGTTTGACGAGTACATTGTGTGATAAGTATAAGAGGATCTTAATACAAATCCAACTTACTGACACTGCGCTAAAGTGCTAAAATGCTCTTCAGCATCTCATCACGCATACCATCGTTACTTTTCCACTCAAGTTAGACTTCCTTTTACATTAGCTGTCGCAGTTTTAAAAGTTTCGCCCCATCTATTGCGAAAACGCACTACTACTGATGCCTCCCTCCCTTATTTTCCACTTATTTTTCTTGCGCCTCTCAATCCATCTTACTAGCATACACTCTGCGGCTCCTCGTGTAAGTGGCAGCTGATTTCTACTAAAGTTCCCTCGTCTGCCACATGTAACTACAGTGTCATTAACAAACTCTTGATGTTAGATGTTCTTACCGTCTGGCAGGCCAGGTACTGCTTTGGATGTTGACACGTGCTGTGTGTGTAATCCTCACGCGATTATGAAACAAACTGCTTCTGTTGCTCGCGCTCGTTCGAGGAGGATGATGTGACAGTCGCCGATCAAACTGGAGTGAATGTCATCCTCAGCTCCAAGGCTGAATCATTCTTGTAAACTGCCCAGTTTCGCAACGTTCACCGAATGAGTCTGCACCGGATGTTATTTGTAGGTAGTTACTACTTAGCCGACTCTTGATACTAGCGAAGACACATTTTCCGTTATATTAATTCGGAATTTCGTACTGTTGCCAGCTCGGAAAGAGTTATGGTTGTCGAGGGTATGAATGATCGGTTATCTGTGCTCATCGTCATTGTCACACATTGGCTGATGATGCGAAACACACTTCACCTGTCGTACCGCAATACTAAAAGATGGGATATGTGGGAAAACGGGATAGAAAACGTCATAGAATACAAAATATCTACAGGTAATGTACTGCTTAGTAACATATGCTTCAAGATTGAGATCTTGCTTCGGGGGAGGAGATGAGTAGGATGGAGAGGGATAAAGATACGACACAAAAGCCACTGAAGTCGGCTGCTCTCCATGTTCAATAGTGTATCCAGCCATATGTGTAACGTTCATGGGACGTCAGCCTGGCAGTCGGAAGACACCAACCGACGCTAAATTCGAAGTGAAGGGCTTCATTTCTGTTGACTAAGTCATCGCTTGACCTTACCTCCTCAAATTCCATCCACACAAATGCGCACGTCACCGGAGTCGGTGGGCTGGAATGCACGACACATAGCTCGGTCTGGGATGTGGAATAACGGTGCTGAACGGTTCACTCGCTCTTCCTGTATCAAATAAACGACTCTGAACTAGCTTATTACTTACGCGGTGTTCCCAGCAGACATTGGCTAAGCACCGTGGCAACGAGACTGGACCTTAACGTGGTGCGACAGTTTGCGTACCTCATTGACCCATTGAGCTATACTGGGTGAAGCCTCCGGGCAGCTTGAGAGCTACTCCTACCAGGTTGGTCCATGGTGAGAGGTCAGACAAACTCAGTCTCCTGGTCCTCCAGGTTGGGGGTTTGAAATGGGATGGCGTCCATTTCTGTAAAACTAAATCACTGCCACCCCGCTGCCTTGCGGGCAGGCTTTCGAGCCCTGACAGTATCTCAGCCCACATACAATCATGACATTTTCTTCAAGCATGCTGCTGCTGGCGCCTCCGTTCTTTCTTTTCCACCTTTTTCTCTTACTCCCATCCCGGCCCCCATTACTAACCTTCTATGATTCCCAGCTTAAGTGACAGCAACAGAAGTGCTACTGGAGTGATACCATCTGCAGCCACCATCCCACAGCACCTATCGGACGCCTATCGGCAGAAGTCCGTTATAAGGCCACGCTGTCCCGTTTTCATGGCGACATTCAACGTCCGCACTCTAAGACAAACAGGTCAACAGGCTGCACTCGCACACACCATGGACACACTGTGTGTTGATGTGTGTTGTGTGTTCGAAACTAGGATTAATGATCCTAACGGGGTTATTGAATTGACTGCACCTAGCTTACCCTCTCGTTATTGGTTGCACGCATCCGGAGACGCCGATGCGGCACTCACGGGTCAAGCTGGTGTAGGTATCATTCTCAGCTCCGAGGCTGAGTCATCGTTGCTTGATTGGATTCCGGTGAACAGCCGTTTATGTGCAGCTCGTTTGACGACATCAGCTAAGGTGAATTCGCGAAGTAAAACAAAACGCTGTTTGTTTGTGGTTTCCGTTTATGCTCCCACCGACTGCAGTTCTAATGCAGTCAAGGACACTTTCTATCACGAACTGAACGCCCTACTACGCAGTGCTATTAGTTCAGATATTATAGTACTTGCAAGGGATATGAACGCACAAGTAGGGCGTCAGAGTTCCTCAGAAGCTCAGCTGGGTGGTAAGTATGGACCTAACTCCGAACGGACTGACAACGGCGAGCGTCTGTTGCAACTGTGTGCGGAGCACCAGTTGTTTCTTAGTAGCACTGCTTTTAGACACAGTGGGCGCCGAAGTGCCACTTGGCGTCCACCTGTAGCTGGCCAGCGATGGATCCAAATTGACCACATAGCCATAAGTTACAGGTGGCGCGGCTCTATTCTGCATTGTGGCTCGTACTGGAGTACCTGTGTCGACTCTGATCATGCCTTGGTGCGCTGTCGTTTCTCCATGAACTTTACCGGAAGGCGCACAAAGCGTCTCCTCCGATTGGCAACGGCGAAATTGTCCCAGCCCTCGGTCAGGCAAGCCTATCAAGTAGCACTGCATAGCGAACTCTCGCTGTCTTGTCCTAATGACACTGAACTTCAGTGGAATAGGATCTCGGCCGCTA